TTATAGAGCTGTTTATTTATGTTCACAGCTGAATGAGTTTCGGGAGGATAATACATACTGGGTGTACTGGGGTTGTTGGTCTATAATGCCTGCTCAACCAGAAATAGCTAGGGCAGAAATTTTGTGTGTTATGTGTGGTTGGAGATTGTTTATATACTTTGTTGACATATAAAATATATTCACAGGATGCATTGATGCAAGACCAAATTTTGACAAGTCCATATACCCAACACCATGCTCTGAAATTGAACAGGGCAAGTCAAGGGGGCCTTTTCAAAACCCTAAGGTTAAAAGTTGAAGGGTTCCTAGATTGGAACACTTTAGGGAGAAACATCAAGGACCCCTTAGTTTTGAACACTATAAACACAGTGTGACACATTATACATGTAGACAAGTGGTGAAATAATATGAGGAAAAAAAGAAAGTTATTGGCCCAGTTTGTTACATTTGTTGTGTTTGTTTGAGCCTAAACATTATCAAATACATTCTATATGTTGATTGTGTGTGTCATCCATTTCAAAATATTATTCATCTAAACACATATGCAGTTGTTATAACCAGCATATATGTTGATTGAAATTAGATTCTACCTGCAGATCTAGTTGAGAGCAGATAGATGGATTATCATTTGGGTCACGAAGTTATATCCTGACAATGGACTCCAACCAACACTATTCATACAACAGTGCCACTCAAATGCATGTTTATTGCGATTTATGCATGTGCCTGGACAATGCTTTTTTCGGCAAAGTTCAAAGTGGCATTTGCGTTCCTGGTCACTTCATGCATATATCATGTGCTATACTGGGGACTGATAAAGTAAGGCATCCCCTTTTATCCAATTTATCGTATCTCCTTTCTATTATGACAAAACACCTGGACCCGTCCAGCATCATAGCCTTGTTTTGGAAGTGATGTCACCATCTCCATCACAGTCCTATCTCTACAAGTTATCACAGAATTTCTCTTGCTCATAAGACACACACATAGACACAGAGACACACACACGCACGCACGCAAGCACGCACGCACGCACGCACGCCACACCACACAAAGCCAGTCACTCTGTAAGTGCAATAAAATTGATGACAATGTTAAGCCCCATTTTACATCACATCGCCTAATACTAGTCAGTAAAGTATGGTCACATGTCCTCTATCAGTCACTAGAAGAGAAAGCAGAAGGTCATGTTGAGACAGGTGCCCCTGAGCACCCAGCTAAGCCTTGTCCCCTCCTCCCTCCCTGGACAGAGGGACATGTAGAGACAGGTTCCCTCAGCACCCAGCCAAGCCATGTCCCCTCCTCCCTCCCTGGACAGAGGGACATGTAGAGACAGGTTCCCTCAGCACCCAGCCAAGCCTCGTCTCCTCCTCCCTCCCTGGTAAGAGGGACATGTAGAGACAGGTTCCCTCAGCACCCAGCCAAGCCATGTCCCCTCCTCCCTCCCTGGACAGAGGGACATGTAGAGACAGGTTCCCTCAGCACCCAGCCAAGCCATGTCCCCTCCTCCCTCCCTGGACAGAGGGACATGTAGAGACAGGTTCCCTCAGCACCCAGCCAAGCCTCGTCTCCTCCTCCCTCCCTGGTAAGAGGGACATGTAGAGACAGGTTCCCTCAGCACCCAGCCAAGCCATGTCCCCTCCTCCCTCCCTGGACAGAGGGACATGTAGAGACAGGTTCCCTCAGCACCCAGCCAAGCCATGTCCCCTCCTCCCTCCCTGGACAGAGGGACATGTAGAGACAGGTTCCCTCAGCACCCAGCCAAGCCTCATCTCCTCCTCCCTCCCTGGACAGAGGGACATGTAGAGACAGGTGCCCCTGAGCACCCAGCTAAGCCTTGTCCCCTCCCTCCCTGGACAGAGGGACATGTAGAGACAGGTTCCCTCAGCACCCAGCCAAGCCTCGTCTCCTCCTCCCTCCCTGGACAGAGGGACATGTAGAGACAAGTTCCCTCAGCACCCAGCCAAGCCATGTCCCCTCCTCCCTCCCTGGACAGAGGGACATGTAGAGACAGGTTCCCTCAGCACCCAGCCAAGCCATGTCCCCTCCTCCCTCTCTGGACAGAGGGACATGTAGAGACAGGTGCCCCTCAGCACCCAGCTAAGCCTTGTCCCCTCCCTCCCTGGACAGAGGGACATGTAGAGACAGGTGCCCCTGAGAACCAAGCTAAGCCTTGTCCCCTCCCTCCCTGGACAGAGGGACATGTAGAGACAGGTGCCCCTGAGCACCCAGCCAAGCCATGTCCCCTCCTCCCTCCCTGGACAGAGGGACATGTAGAGACAGGTGCCCCTCAGCACCCAGCTAAGCCTTGTCCCCTCCCTCCCTGGACAGAGGGACATGTAGAGACAGGTGCCCCTGAGCACCAAGCTAAGCCTTGTCTCCTTCTCACTCTTTTCTATTATTTTTAAGCTTTTGTTAGCAGTTACTGAAATATCAATCATGACTGGATGTCCCTGAGTATACTTTAAACCTGTTGAATGCCACTCAGTAATTTGCATGTTATGTTGGGGAATATGACCGAAAGTAATGGAACAGCTGCCTCGTCATGATTTAAAAAATGCATTATGGTAATGGAATTAAGCTGCATCATTGGCAGTATCATTTCTGATAGAATTGTGCTGCCAGCCATGATAAATCCTTTGATGCAGCATGAGTCATATTCACATGACATAACTAATGATATATTTGTTTCTGTGACTAATACCACTAAACAGAAATTCGACCATCTGTACATCTGCTTGTTATGTGAGCTTATCATTTGCTTGTTATAAGAGCTAGGTGGGTAAACTGAGGATTAGGTGTTGCCTATTACTGTAAATCTAGAAAGTGGTGTTAGCGTTAAAGTACTGCGTGAGTGACACACAATCGCAGTAGTTTCATGACGCAGTTATTTTTGCAGGCCAACAACAAACAAAAATTGTAAAGAGGCATATTGCTTGTATTCACTTCTACACGTTGTCAATCATTCACACCCTGTGTCCTTTATTACAAATTGTCACTCTGTGTCTAATCAGAAAAGTTGCCTTATCTGCCACATCTTGTCAAGTCATACACACACCTGCACCTGCTAGTCTCCACTATTAGATACACATGTTACTCCAACCTTCCGTGTCAATTACAACCTGACATGTGTGTATGTATAGTTTAAAAGTGACTGACTGTTTCGTAGTTACCATTTCAACACATGCAAAAGTAGACTTGATCTTTGGTAATCTCATCAACAGGGTGTCGCAAAACATTCCAAACACAGTTACGGCTATTGTAAGCCACTCTCAATAAATTCATGGAACAAAACTTTCCACATGTACAGTAATGGCATATTGTATTTGTGTTTTATTATCCCCCGCCGCGCGAAAGCGCGAAGCGGGGGATATAGTATTCACGACCGTCCGTACGTCCGTCCGTCCGTCCGTACGTCCCACCTGTTTGTTGCCGCGATATCTCAAGAACTAAACACTGGATTGTCTTCATATTTGGAACTATGGTGTATATACAGACTCCGCAGACACCAGTCGGTTTTGGTGACCTTGATCCCATTTTCAAGGTCACAGCAGACAAATCTGCTTTTAGAGTTGGAAAACGGTGTTGCCGCGATATCTCAAGAACTAAACACTGGATTGTCTTCATATTTGGAACTATGGTGTATATACAGACACCGCAGACACCAGTCGGTTTTGGTGACCTTGACCCCATTTTCAAGGTCACAGCAGGCAAATCTGCTTTTGGAGTTTGAAAACGGTGTTGCCGCGATATCTCAAGAACTAAACACTGGATTGTCTTCATATTTGGAACTATAGTGTATATACAGACTCCGCAGACACCAGTCGGTTTTGGTGACCTTGATCCCATTTTCAAGGTCACAGCAGGCAAATCTGCTTTTAGAGTTGGAAAACGGTGTTGCCGCGATATCTCAAGAACTAAACCTCTCGATTGTCTTCATATTTGGAACTATGGTGTATATACAGACACCGCAGACACCAGTCAGTTTTGGTGACCTTGACCCCATTTTCAAGGTTACAGCAGGCAAATCTGCTTTTGGAGTTAGAAAACGGTGTTGCCGCGATATCTCAAGAACTAATCGCTGGATTGTCTTCATATTTGGAACTATAGTGTATATACAGACACCGCATACACCTGTCAGATTTGGTGACCTTGACCCCATTTTCAAGGTCACAGCAGGCAAATCTGTTTTTGGAGTTGGAAAACGGTGTTGCCACAATATCTCAAGAACTAATCGCTGGATTGTCTTCATATTTGGTACTATGGTGTATATGGCGGGGGATATTTCGTCACTCTGTGACAAATACTTGTTGTCTGTTGTTTCATTGTCATGGGGATGGTAAATGACAGCTTCAGACGTTTTTACCGAATATTCTCTGTTGCAAAGATAAGCACTAGGGTAGGCATAGATAAGTAGTGTCATAATTTGTAAGATGACAAGACCCTCCCTACCTAACACACACACACCCCCCCCCCCCCCCCCCCCCCTCCACTGGCACTACACGTAATGTCATTCTGTGCTCCCTGTGTACTCTAAGTATACGGACTGTCCTGTGGTCTAGTGGATAGACCGTCTTCCTGGAGAACGGAAGGTCAGGGTTTGATCCCCAACTGCGTCATACCAAAAGATGTAAAAAGATGGTATTTGTTGTTACCCTGCTGGGTGGGGCTACAACAAGGACTGGTCGGCTCGGAGTCAGTATACTGTGTCTGAGTGGGGTATTCATAGCCCTGATGTTAAATACAGTAGCAAAACCCCCTGAGGACAACCTTAATTTTGAACACTGCTCTCATCCTGTGACTATTGTATGGTCTCATTTCAGGGGGGTGGTGGGGTAGCCTAGTGGTTAAAGCATAAGTTCGTCATGCTGAGACCCTTATGTAATTCCCCATGTTGGTACTATATGTGAAGCTCATTTCTGGTGTCGATTGCCCTGATACTGGTGGAATATTGATAAGAGCGGCGTAAATCCATACTCACTCACTCACTCTCATTTCAGGTGCGGTCGGGCATGAACATCCTGGTGTGTGGGCCCAATGGCTGTGGCAAGAGCTCCCTCTTCAGAATCCTTGGCGAGGTGATATATTTTGGATAACTAAACACATATAATCAATTTGATCTCTAAAATCAAGATTACTGTCCATGTTACCATTCATGGTAAAGTATGCAAGTTACTTAAGTCGTTTTGCCAGGACTGTGTTATTGTAAAAGGCTCTGAACAGGCTCCAATTTCCTGTGTTGCAAGTGGAAACTTGACCTCGAAGGTGTAATCGTAAGGCCATTGTATGGCCCCTCAGTATGAATAATATGACAATTTCATCGAAGTTTCAAGCCTATCATCGGGGGCACGGTTGGCCCAGTCTTCTAAGGCGCCGCGATTCGCTGTGCAGAGTTGCGTCCCTTAGGCACGCCAGAAACCTATGATTGTGGGTTCGAATCCTGGTTCGCCCCGATTATGTTTCTAGGTTTGTCAGCACCATACCTGTGCTCGTGGGTTTCACCGAGGTGGTAAACGTCTGAGACCTGCATCACTTCGAGCTTTCCTCCCACATTAAGCTGACATGCCGCAATATAACTGGAATACTATTAAAAGCAGCATTACACCCAACCCACTCACTCACTCACTCACTCAAGCCTATCATCAGCTGGTGGTACTAAAAGCATCCGTTGCATAGCTGTGATAAATCTTGTTGCATCATTAAACCCCATATTTCCACTCTCTCTGACTCGACTCAGGATAATCCTCCATCTGCAGTCCCCTCATCAAATTCACACACAATGTAACTGAAGTACTGTTAAAAGAAGATGTTGATAAAACAGCTCACCTACTCTGACACATTAATCTTTACTAGGGCTTCAACGAATGCACTATAAGCCGAATATGATTCGTATCACGAATATAGGGTAACGAATGCGAATATTAATTCATGACTAAAATAACAAGTCAGCAGTTGATGTATTATTTGTGTATTCAGTGAAACAATAACATAAATTATTTGACATTGTTTGTTAAATATTAATATATTATACATATTTATAATAGTATCTGCTCAAATCCGACAATGACCAGTGCCCACAATACTTTCAAATTGAATATAATATGAGGGTTGTCTTTGAAGAAATCTATGCATATAATATGTTCTTATGGATATTTTTAGGTACAGTGTGTGTAAATGCACTTGATTGCATATTCATAGATATTTCATTCTTGTGGCCACGAATAACGAACACAAACACAAAGTTGCCAGACAATCTTTTAAATACTATATTTTAATGATGGCTTTTGGTATGTAAAATATTTGGCATATTAAGTAAAACCAGTGAGTCACTTTTGACCCTTTCAGTGGCAGTGACTCCTATCATATCCAGGTTACACCAAGTTGTTTGTGGCTCTGTACCAAGGCCAACATGCAGAAGCTCATTGATTTGTGCTGCCATCAAGTCACCATGCACATTCTGCCATTGTAGTCCAGTTTGACAAACAAATCAAATCTTACTTTTCAAGGTTTCAGATTCTTTTCAACTGGAATGATATAGAATGTCTCATCAAAATCGATAAGAATGTTCTAGAATGTCCTAATGCCATTTGTTTCAGGTTTTTTACACACTTAGACAAAAAGGATCACTGACACAATTCAATTTTTAAATACAATTGCCATTGCATGTGTTTGTGACAGATGCCACCAGTGGAGCAGGATACTGTCACTTTTTTTTCGCGAACATATGGTCACTAGCTTGATATTGGTGTTAGAACCTACACCAAAATGTCGCTCCTAATTGTAATAAAGAAGTTGTTCATCCATATATCTTATCCTTACTTAGTACTCCAACTTCTAAATGCCTCTCAAAGAAGCTATATGGTATCATTACTATTTGATAGTGATCGCTTTTGTCACTTTTATAAGGAAACAGTAGTTTTTTGTTTTTCGGCCTAACATAGACAGCTATTTTGTTATGACAGGGATATCCATGTAAACATGTTTTTATCAAGTATTCTCGGTCACTCACTAACCCAGTTGCTTGGTGACATGTTGATTAACATGGTATTTGTTGTCCTTGCAGCTCTGGCCGCTGTTTGGCGGAACCCTCACCAAGCCAGAAAAGGGCAAACTGTTCTATGTCCCTCAGGTGAGACAATGAAAATGGATTGTTTTACTTTGAACTTTGTACATTTATTGGAATAGGTTGGGTCGTGTTACCCATTACCATTGAAAGTAACAGGCAAGGCATAAAAAGTATGGAGGACCATATTGCTGAGATATGGTTGATCTGTGTATTTTTTGTGTGTTTTAAAGGGTTAATGACTTTGACCTTTCTGTCACTGTGAACTTGTTTTTCAGTTTTTGGAATATTTTGAACTAAGAAGGGAGATTTATCCTTATTTTTTTGCCTTCCACAATGTCTAAACCTACCAAACACCATGTTTAACGCATAACAGAAATCTTTTATTCTTTTTATCGTCAATATTTAGTATTAAGGTGCTCAGGGAATTAAAATGGCTGAATGGACATAACATGGAATTGGAGGATCATTTGGAAGTAGCTCCTCAGGCTGGGGTGGAATACATCCACGGTAAAAGCTGACTTAACTAGGGTTTGGTTTAATTTGGAATTGAGCTGAATGTGTGCCATCTGATGCTCATGCTATCAATCACTGGTTTGTCAGTTATTTATAGGGTGACTTAACAGCTGTATTGAATTACTGACTGAGGCATAAAACAACATTCGCTCATTCTATTTTTTCTCAATGCATGTCCAACTACATGCAACGTTATATGAAAGAATCAGGTGTTCTTTGACTTATTTTGAGTAGTATATTTGTATTTTTGGCTTAACGTTTTACTGGTTACGCAGAGATAATCCTGCTTATAGATGTGTTACGGTTTTATGGTAAAGAGATTTATGTTTATGTGCATAGAGTAATTTCATGTTTCTGACTCATAAACCTGTTGGTTTTAAATTATTACGTCATGCAGAGATAATCATGCTTATAGATATGTTGATGTTTTTTCATAAAGAGATTGATATTTATGTGCATAAAGTGACTTCATGCTTCTAACTCATAAACCTGTTGTCACTGTCACTGTTTGTTATTGTCTGATTTGAAATGGAGGTGATTGTCATACCCTGCTGGCATAGTCAACATCCTTCATGTTGTAACTGGGGTCATGGGTGGCCCAGTTGCCTAAGGCGCAGTGATTCGCTGTGCAGTGTTGCGTCCCTTGGGCATGCCAGAAACCTATCATTGTGGGTTTGAATCCCGGTTCGCCCCGATAATGTTTCTAGGTTTGTCAGCACCATACCCGTGCTCGTGGGTTTCACTGAAGTGGTAAACGTCTTAGACCTGCATCACTTCCGGCTTTCCTCCCACATTAAGCTGACACGCCACAATATAACTGGAATACTGTTAAAAGCGGTGCTAAACCCAACTCACTCACTCATGTTGTAACTGTTGCTGATGTTATCACAGTGATGAGGTTTGACAACAGGGAATCACTTGTCTCTCATCCTTCAAATAGGTTGACAGTTTTGTTTTCGTTTCTGAGAAGCAGATTTATTACCAGTGTTTCAAAGGGATGCCGTATAAAACGGCTTATGACGTCTATGACCCTGTCAAGCATGACCTTTGCTTGACATTTGGAGGGACAAAAGGTCCAAAGAACGTCGCAACAATGCATGACCTTGACATGGTAAACAAGATACTGATGCAAATACATTGTCACATCTTGTTTGTAATTGTTGCTCAAAATAAAATGGTAAAAAAAATTGAGGGTATCTAGCAAATATTTTTAAGTTGCCAGACGTGTGGGGAATCTGGTTTAGAATTGGCCTGTAGCAAGCTGTGCTTGTAATACATAGCTAGCATGTCAGAGTGTGGATCACTGCTCATGTGCAACTGAGACATGTCTCTGTGTATTAGGATGATCATTAACTGCTAGATTGACATATATCCTAAGAAATAGCTAGTAGACAAGCAAAATGTGCATCAAGCTTGCTTGGACTACCAAGTTTCTCGAGCCTAGTTTCCGTATTGTGTTGAAGAACAGATAACAAACAGAATCTGATGTTGTTGTTTGCAGCGGCCATACATGACAGTGGGGACACTGCGAGACCAGGTCATCTACCCTGACGCACACACTGACCAGCTCAGGAAAGGGGTCAAGGACACTGACCTTGCTGAAATCCTAAGCAAGGTGAAGGCTAAATCAGGGGCTGCTTGTTGATAGACAATGTTCAGCACATTTTTGTAAACCTTGCTATAGAGATGATTAAGTACTGAATCATGCATTAATTGCCATCATAAAGAAGAGCATTTGTTTGAACTAAATTATTCAATTTAGATACATGTATTTTTTTACAAATATGTTTTGGTAGGGCAGTGGTTAATGTGTTCTGTCAACACCGACATTGCCCAAACATTTTTGCATGCCTCCAATGTTATGATATACTACTCAAAAGAAGTTAAGGACCATCTGATTCTTTCCAATTACTATGGTTATTATGAAAGAATTGTGTGGTCCTTAACTTCTTTTGAGTAGTATATATGCTATAGCTTGGGGGCACCAGTGGCCCAGTCGTCTAAGGCACCACGATTTATTGTGCCGAGATGAGTCCCTTAGAAACCTATGGTTGTCTGGAAGAACCCCAGATTCGCACTGATTATGTTTCTTGGTTTGTCAATGCCAGACCTGTGCTCAAAGGCGTGCATCTCTGCAGGTTATCCTCCCACATTACGCTGAAACGCTGTGATATTACTGAAGTACTCTTAAATCCTGCTCACTCACTCCCTCCCGTCTGTCCCTTAATCACCTGTGTTCCGTGTTTCAGGTCCAGCTCGGCTACATCTTGGGCAGAGAAGGAGGCTGGAACTCCATACAGGTCAGTGATGTTGAGGATCTGGGAAGGTGGGCAAAAGTCCTGTAGTTTAACAGAATAATCATTATGAATTATACACACTGCCAAAAGAAAAGCGAACCATAGAAACATGTATAGAGAAGTATGTACATTAAGAAGAGGTGTTTCCAATGTGTACCAATTAATGACAGAACTAACAATCAGTCAAGTCAAGAGTTTGCTTCACGTGATTTCCAATCTTTACACGCTAATCCTGCACAAGACAAACGGTGCATCTCGAGTCATGGACCTATGACATCAATGAGGTAATAAGGAATAAACTACTAAAAACTCAGAATTATGTATTACCCCTGGTATATGTCTGAAGTGAATGAAGGGTGAAGACAAAAGCTCAGGGCTTGCACCATTCAGCCACTCGGGACAGATGATTTTCATTTCCTCTTAACTCATTGGTTATTCTCAAAGTATTCCTGAAAGTTGTTCTCTTTGTTTCTGCCAGGACTGGATGGATGTGCTGAGCGGTGGGGAGAAACAGAGGATAGCAGTAAGTACAGTCATGTATGGAACTGGCTGTGTGTTGAATGGTGAAACGTTAATGGAGGTAGCTGGGTACACTAGAGGTTAAGTGTTTGCTCATAACACCAGATCCTGGCTTTATTTTCCAACACATGGGTATAATGTGTGACGCCAATTGCTCATGTCCCCTCTGTGATATTCAGGGGCGGTCTGGTAGCCAAGTGGTTAAAGCGTTCCCTCATCACGCCGAAGACCCGGGTTCAATTCCCGACATGGGTACAATGTGTGAAGCCCATTTCTGGTGTTCCCCGCTATGATATTGCTGGAATATTGCTAAAAGCGGCGTAAAACCATACACACTCACTCACTCCGTGATATTCCTTGAACATTGCTAAAAGGGGCAAACCCATACTTGCTCAGCCCTGTAAAAGGAGGTTAGTTTTACGTAAAGCTTGCACTAATCATGTACCCAGAGGCAAAACTGAGTACATTGAACTGGTTGAAATTACAGTGTATTGAAAGAAAAAATTTCTATTTGAATCAACATTTAATTAAACTGCTCAAGTTAATGTATACAATTCAAGAGAGGGTGGATGTGGAGATGGATATTTGTTAATGATGGGAAATAACGGTAGAAGATGCTTGTATCTACAATGCATTGACACATTGCTGGTGTTGTCTTTAGATGGCCCGACTGTTCTACCACAAGCCACAGTTTGCAATCCTGGATGAGTGCACAAGTGCTGTCAGTGTGGACGTAGAGGGCTACATGTACAACCACTCCAGAGAGGTAGGCTTACTACACTGTGTGATGACCCCCATTGGTAGGATTACTACACTGTGTGATGGCCCCTATTGGTAGGCTTACTATACTGTGTGAAGACCCCCATTGGTAGGATTACTATGCTGTGTGATGGCCCCCATTGGTAGGATTACTTCACTGTGTGATGACCCCTATTGGTAGCATTACTATGCTGTGTGATGGCCCCCATTGGTAGGATTACTTCACTGTGTGATGACCCCCATTGGTAGGCTTACTATACTGTGTGAAGACCCCCATTGGTAGGATTACTATGCTGTGTGATGGCCCCCATTGGTAGGATTACTTCACTGTGTGATGACCCCCATTGGTAGGATTACTATGCTGTGTGATGACCCCCATTGGTAGGATTACTACACTGTGTGATGACCCCCATTGGTAGGCTTACTACACTGTGTGATGACCCCCATTGGTAGGATTACTATGCTGTGTGATGACCCCCACTGGTAGGATTACTACACTGTGTATTGACCCCCATTGGTAGGATTACTACACTGTGTGATGACCCCCATTGGTAGGCTTACTACACTGTGTGATGACCCCCATTGGTAGGATTACTATACTGTTTGATGACCCCCATTGGTAGGCTTACTACACTGTGTGATGACCCCCATTGGTAGGATTACTACACTGTGTGATGACCCCCATTGGTAGGATTACTACACTGTGTGATGACCCCCATTGGTAGGATTACTACACTGTGTGATGACCCCCATTGGTAGGATTACTATACTGTGTGATGGCCCCTATTGGTAGGCTTACTACGCTGTGTGATGGCCCCCATTGGTAGGATTACTACACTGTGTGATGACCCCCATTGGTAGGATTACTATACTGCGTGATGGCCCCCATTGGTAGGATTACTATACTGTGTGATGACCCCCATTGGTAGGATTACTATACTGTGTGATGGCCTCTATTGGTAGGCTTACTACGCTGTGTGATGGCCCCCATTGGTAGGATTACTATACTGTGTGATGGCCCCCATTGGTAGGCTTACTATACTGTGTGATGACCCCCATTGGTAGGCTTACTATACTGTGTGATGGCCCCCATTGGTAGGCTTACTACGCTGTGTGATGACCCCCATTGGTAGGATTACTACACTGTGTGATGACCCCCATTGGTAGGCTTACTATGCTGTGTGATGGCCCCCATTGGTAGGATTACTATACTGTGTGATGACCCCCATTGGTAGGCTTACTACACTGTGTGATGACCCCATTGGTAGGATTACTATACTGTGTGATGACCCCCATTGGTAGGCTTACTATGCTGTGTGATGGCCCCCATTGGTAGGATTACTATACTGTGTGATGGCCCCCATTGGTAGGATTACTTCACTGTGTGATGACCCCCATTGGTAGGCTTACTATACTGTGTGATGACCCCCATTGGTAGGATTACTACACTGTGTGATGACCCCCATTGGTAGGATTACTATACTGTGTGATGGCCCCATTTGTAGGCTTACTATACTGTGTGATGACCCCCATAGGTATAATTACATGTACAACTACAGAGAGATAGGCTTACAATACTGTACCACAATACAATACCCCCTTGAGTGCCTAACCCAGACTGGCTTATTTAAAGGCAGCTGTGATATAGCTAGAATATTGCTCACTTTGGAGTCAAATAGCATTCTCTCATAAGATCTTGTACACAGCAATGCTGCCACATAGAGAAAACATAATGTGTTCCAGTGTCCCTAAACCCGGAAACAAATAAGGAAAGATCACCCAATGCTAGAATGTTAAATAGGTAATTTAGTTCAATTGCCTAATAATATATGAAACTTCATATGCTTAGCTGGATCAAATGTTTTTGAATAATAATTGAAACTGAAGATCCATATTTATGATTATGTATTGGTTGCGTGACATGCGTTTCCATTTCAAGCATGACTGCAAGTGCCTGCAGCTGTGCATGTAATTGATGCAGGTATAGAACAGTAATAGCTACATCAGTGTTTTGGTCACTCAAAAACTCTTGCTTTATACCTCTGGGACAGAGTAAGTTGCTAAGACTGTGCATGTTTGGAGAGCTGACAATATGTTCATTGGTTGGTCACAATGCATGACCTGGCTGATTGTGTGTCATCATGGATCAGTACTTGTGGTGTTAGCTTGGTCCACATGGCTGAGACTTGATTTCTCAGCTCACCTAGGGCGGTCGGGTAGCCTAGTGGTTAAAGCGTTCGCTCGTCACGCCGAAGACCCGGGTTCGATTCCCAACATGGGTACAATGTGTGAAGCCCAACACTGGTGTCCCCTGCCCGTGATGTTGCTGGAATATTGCTAAAAGCGGCGTAAAACCACACTCACTCACTCTTAGCTCACCTGAGGGAAACTCAAGTGAGCTTGTGTTGTGGCCTGTTTGTCCATTGTGCAGTGTTAACACCTTCTCGGGAACCACTGGACCAATGAAGCTGAATCTTCCCATGTAAATAACGATACCCAAACTTGTTCAAGAGGTTTAAATCCAACTTTTAATATGGCCAGCGCGGCATCCAAATATTTCCACAAAATGGAATATAATTTCGCACATGTCTAGTTGGTCGTGGGACTGAACATGTATGTTCCGTTTTTCTCGATATTTTAAATGTTGACCTATATTTGACTTTTACACTTTGACCATGCTCCTAAATTCTCTCGAAATGCATTTCCTTGCACTGTAAATGTCACCACAGAAACTTGTTCCCACCATTGATGACATCTGAATGTGTCCAAATCTAAGTTTCAACTGTTATATGTTGTTAGTTTTCAGTCGTCCATATTTTAAGAGAACTTTCTTGAAAATACATGTACTGACAACAGCCTTTTTGAAGTGTCTATCTTTGTTGACATTTTAAGCTGTTGACTACATATATGGTGACAGTGTATATTGTTCTTGTAGATGTATTATTGTGATATAACTCGTGCATCTCCTTGTTCCAGGTGGGCATCACACTCTTCACTGTGTCACACAGAAAGTCTCTGTGGAAACACCACGAGGTGAGATCATCCTCCTGTAATTTGTCACATCATCACCAAAACACCATCAGTGGGATCGAGTATCCTGGGTGCCGTTGTACAAAACAACCTTAGCACTACGACATTCGCAAGTCTATGTTAAGGTGTGGGAGTTACGATCACCTAAGCGCTAAGATCGCTTTGTACAACGGTACCCTGGCCAGAATAGATACTTCTTTCATGGTTACTTCTCTCATGCTTTTTCACCAAGTAGTGAAGTGTCCAGTTAGATAACTGGGAATGTTCAATCTTCCAGCGTCTAACAGGCACCTTTGGTTGTCTACTCCCCAGGGAGCTGAGAAAGCAGTTTCAATGCACATTGATAAGATGGTATTATTTTCAGTGAAACGGGATACAGTAAATCAGAAAGTGTGTAACCATTGTTGGCACCCACTCTATTAAAGGACAAGAATAGCTTTCTGGGGCCCAATGTATTTACCCGTAATACCCACTGGTTGTCCACTTTTTGTTCCACAATTAGTTGGTCAGGCTTGATGGCTTAGTTGATAGGGTGTCATATCATACCATGAAGATATGGATCGTTGCTCATCATATCAATCATTGGATTGTCTTGTCCAGATTACGCCCCTTTAGCACGGCAGAAACCTATGATTGTGGGTTCAAATCCTGGTTCGTTCAAATTATGTTTCTAGGTTTGTCAGCACCATACCTGTGCTCGTGGGTTTCACCGAAGTGGTAAACGTCTGAGACCTGCATAACTTCGGGCTTTTCTCCCACATTAAGCTGACAGGCCGTGATATAACTGGAATACTGTTAACAGCAGCGTTAAACCCAACCCGCTCGCTCGTCACTCTTGTCTAGATTCAATTATTTACAGGCTGCCATCATACAGCTGGAATATTGAGTTGGGTGATAAAATAACTAATCACAGCCTCATTTCTGTAGTGACGTACCTTTATCTGCTACATGTCAGACTTCAGCATGAAGCCTCACTCTCCTATAACTGTTGAGCGAAACTTTGCATCTCATTATAAAACAACATTGTTTACGTGTTCCAGTACTACTTGAAGATGGATGGCCGAGGAGAGTACGAGTTCAAGCCCATCACTGCCGACACCACCGAGTTTGGGTCTTGACCTTCATGATTCCTAGAACATGATTAAATTAATCCTGAAATCTGAAAATGTTTTGACACATAGTGAACTGGGACATAATATTGATATTTTATATGATTGTGCCTTTTAGATCTGTAGATCATGTTTATTATTCTTATTAGAATCATGGCAAGTTTTTTTTTATTACCATTCTTACTCTCCATAATCTGCCAGTAGGCCAGCTTTGTGTGCAACTGGAGATGGATGTAGAGCAGGGACAAATAGCCTAGCTTGAGTTGTTTGATACACGTCCAGTGAATTGATGGGTGTAAATTATTTTGTGATCACCAGAAGTAATGCTGAAGGGGTTGTTGTGCTATAGGATCCTACAGAAGAATGCACAGGCACCTAATCGTAACAGAAATGCACCATGGCCAGAATCTTAATACAAAAAATTGGTCTGTCCACTGCATGGTAACAATGCAGCTGGAAGTCAATTACAATGTTTCCCTCACCTTTATATGGACACGTTAGCTCGTCAGATACCAGAACTATTCACTACTTTCATAAAATTGAATTACATGGGAGCTCGTTTAGTATTCTTTATTAGACTAACGCTCAGTCTCTGTTTCTATCAAAATTATATATTTTCAAACAATCTATTTAGACTGAAAAGGAGCCCCAGTGAGAGAAAGATTCTGTTTGAAAACCTAGACTTGCTTCATTTAGGGCTATAGCATTACAGGTAAGGGTTCAGGTATCTGTCTGTTGTCTGATTTTGTCAGGGGTGCAAATAAGTGCACAGAACAGTGATAGTGCTATAGGACCATATGAGACAACAACCACTTCAGCTTTAACGCAAACATATTTATAAAATGAATTTCTTAGTAATATTATATGACCAGTTGACAGGAATGAATTTCAAACAGAAATACAATAGGTACCATTTTCTGTTACACACTAACTCTAATGTGTCGTATTGTTTCATGTAACAAGTCAGCATTCATGATCTTGTTACTGATTAGTTTTGAAGATATATCCTGTCAAAAAGAATAATGTGGAGATTTGTTATCTATGTCTTATGTATATAGATGTTGAATATGATTTTTGGAGTGCAGACTTACTGTTGAGGATTTGTGTTGTAACAAGTGTTTGAAATACCTTAATATACTACTCCACTTTTGATATTCTTTTCTTTCCAAGATGAACAAAATTACTGGTAGCAGAAAAACATTCATAAGCCAAGCATTAACAGTTTACAACCATCTGAACACTTCATGTAGAATCTATCGTCAGTATGCAAAGTTGAAATATCTATTGCAATTACAAGAAACAGATATCTTCATTAGTTCCGGAAATGGAAAGCACTAGCAGAAGGCTAAATAAAATAAAAGAATTGGTTCTCAGGCAATGGTTTTTGAAAATGTAGTGCAGGCGGGGTCTGTTACTTTTTGGTTGTTCAAACTGGTATGATACCAAATAAACAGTTGTGTACGATCAACCTGGGAATAGTTTTTCACAACTGTTGGACTTAAAATATTTAAGGATTTTAGGGTTTTTTTAAAATGGAAATAAAAACGAAACGTGGGCGGTGCCTGAGATTATTAATTTTTTTAGCCTAATGCATTGCCATATAGCCCAATCTAATGTCTTTTGTGCATTTCAAGCTGTTTTGTTTGTTAAAAAAATGAACATGTATCATACATTGTATATTAAATGTAACATATCAGTCTTTGGAAATTAAAAAAATTCAGATGCAGAGACAAAATTATTTTCATAATATGTCTAAATACATGTAGAAAGGCACTTGAGCATCCCTATCAAAAGTGGGGTAGTGTATATAACAGGGAAATGAACCAGCAGCTCTTCCACAGATCAACCCAGCACTGGAATGCATTCAAAGTAACATTCAAATGTATAGATGACAATTATATTGTTATCCCCCGCCGCGCGAAAGCGCGAAGCGGGGGATATAGTATTCACGACCGTCCGTCCGTCCGTCCGTCCGTCCCACCTGTTTGTTTCCGCGATATCTCAAGAACTAAACACTGGATTGTCTTCATATTTGGAACTATGGTGTATATACAGACACCGCAGACACCAGTCGGTTTTGGTGACCTTGACCCCATTTTCAAGGTCACAGCAGGCAAATCTGCTTTTGGAGTTGGAAAACGGTGTTGCCGCGATATCTCAAGAACTAAACACTGGATTGTCTTCATATTTGGAACTATAGTGTATATACAGACTCCGCAGACACCAGTCGGTTTTGGTGACCTTGATCCCATTTTCAAGGTCACAGCAGGCAAATCTGCTTTTAGAGTTGGAAAACGGTGTTGCCGCGATATCTCAAGAACTAAACCTCTCGATTGTCTGTATATACACCATAGTTCCAAATATGAAGACACCGCAAACACCAGTCGGTTTTGGTGACCTTGACCCCATTTTCAAGGTCACAGCAGGCAAATCTGCTTTTGGAGTTAGAAAACGGTGTTGCCGCGATATCTCAAGAACTAATCGCTGGATTGTCTTCATATTTGGAACTATAGTGTATATACAGACACCGCATACACATGTCAGATTTGGTGACCTTGACCCCATTTTCAAGGTCACAGCAGGCAAATCTGTTTTTGGAGTTGGAAAACGGTGTTGCCACAATATCTCAAGAACTAATCGCTGGATTGTCTTCATATTTGGTACTATGGTGTATATGGCGGGGATATTTCGTCACTCTGTGACAAATACTTGTTTACACTGTTTTGACGCATCCTTTTGGATGCTAGCATCTTGATGAAGCTATGAGACACATAGAATCTATGTGTCCATTCTTCCATGTTGAACGTCGCAATGGTGTGAATATAGATGTCATGGATACAAGTTTCTTGTTATTACCTTGCCCAACCTGTATGTAATCAAGTAATTAACAATGGATCACTCTCAATAGCCTAGAAATATATTGGAATAACTTATTAAAGAAATGCATGGTCTTGGGTTGGGGGTCTTCACTGACTCCTTGCATCTCATGGTATTTTTATCCTGGTGAAGTGTTTCGTGCAAATGCATTAATATTGACATGTAAGTGGTTGTTGTGAACATAAAATATTATTTGATATTTTTTCCCAACATGGTCATAAATTATGTGAAGTTAGTTAGAAAGTAATTACAAAATATTATTTGTCCACCTAACATATAACTGAGCAGATAGTTTTTTCAAACTCTGATCATCACTGTTATTGTGTTTGGTTCTTGTTTGTGTGGCCTCTGTGAAACATTCAGTCTTGGACTAAATGATAACAACAGTTTGAGACATTCTTATCTATGGAAGACCTTTAGGGCCAAAGCATTAACTTTTCTCTCTTGAAAATTCATATTCTTGTCTGGCAGAGTGCCAGTTAAAAGCACCAATGGAAGCAATTTGGAAGTTCATTTGCCGAAATTGAATTTTCAACACAGTATCTTGAATTTTCAACCAAGTATAGTAACTTTTTAACTATCTTGAATTTTCAACATAATGAAAAATTGGCATGGACTTAATGGCCTTTGTACATATCTCACTCATTTGCACACCATGTCAAATAAAAACATTCACAGCAAACTGAATACATGTTCCTCGGATCAACATCTTTTGTTGTTAATTTCATGTTATTACCAGTTTGTTTCCTGATGATTATCTGATGCAGATCAGGTGACAACTACATGTAGTTGCAACAATGACCCCACCTCTCCATCTTGCTAGAGATGTTAAACATATAGTAGGTTCTTAGGACCCTATAGTTCTGTGAAGGTCAGTTGCTTGTGTTAGATAGATCAAGAAAAATGTGTACTGTGTTCAAAATAAGATTGTTTGTTTGTTCAGAATCTGACATATTCTTAGGGAACACTTCAATAGCTTGATGTCGGATAAAGATCTTAATTCTTATTTGGGGGAAGGGGATTGACAGGTTTGCTAAATCAACTTCTATATTCAAGGGTTTAACAGCTCAAGTCAGTAAACAACAGCTCAAATTGCTGTATGATTGCCCTAGACTTGGTGGTATTACTAAAGTGATCATGATTGTTGGTATCAGGAGATGAATTCACTACCCAAGAACATTGTGCCACTTGACAAACCTTCCTTGTATGTTTGTGTCAGTGTTGCTCAACAACATCAGTTGGGCAGTTGGGCTGCTTTTAGAAAATGTATGCAATTGTGCAATATATTTTGTTGTGAAAGAATCAGTTTGAGGATGTCAACATTTTCACAATTAACTTCAACAGGGGTATTACTGAAAAGTTAACATCATGTATTTTTTGGGTTGGTTTGAGACTAACTGACAAAAGAAATAGAGTTATGAAAACATACTTTTGACAAAACAAAATGGCAGACTCTTTATTATTCAATAAGGTAAAATGAAGAAAACATGAGAATTCATCATGGCTGTTCATAAGAAATGGTGAATGATACACATAAAATGTTTACTCCAAAAACAAACATATCTTTTCAATATCGTTTCGCAAACATACTTCTGTGATGGTGTGACCAAGGTTCTTTTATTCATTAGTAGAAGTACAAATCTGGAAGTTGAAAAATATTTTGTGTGTTTTTTTCAACCACCTACTTTGAATTTAAGCCAAGACTTTTGTAAATCAACTAAAAAAATAAAATACCTTTATCCTTTATCCGACATCAAACTACTGAACCGTTCCCTCACTCTGTCATGGCCTTTGACATCCAGAGAAACATTTAATGGCCAACTAGTCCAGTGATGAATATCATTAATTGCTTGCTCAGCTGTTGCCTGTTATGCCTGTTTACATAGCAACCGTTTGCTAAACATACTCATTTACACTCAATGCACAAACATTGATGTGCGAACTGTTTAAAACTGAGGAAATATTTTGAATGATTCTGACCCAAGGTTTTAGAAGGAAATGTATGGTTATCATAGCTCGTAATGTGTGCACAGTTTGAACCATTCAGTAACTGTCAGTACTGGCATTTTGTGGACAGGACACTGTGACTAACAGTAGTATCACTAGTATAGAACTTATCAGCTGTAACTTTTGTATGATCTGTACTGTGTTTTTACTGGAATACTGAAGTCATGGGTAATTTAATTTATGCATAATGTGTTTTATGTATAGAACACTTGTTAATTACCTTATGTTTTGTGTACATATTTCAGAAGTTACAGTCCATCTCACATGATACTTCCTCCTGTGATCAACATAAAACTGGTTTGATGAACAAAACATTATTAAATAAATATATATTTTTATCCAGTAATACCATGTTGTTATCTTTCAACAATACTGATGTGATTACAAATATGTTGATTAATACTTTTTTCAGAAATGTTTAATTATTCTGTGTTCCTGTCTACTGATCAGGAATTAACACACGTTTTTGTAATGTTAGAATAATTATATGATAATGAGTACACTGCTCATATTACCATGGTGTTCTTCCTGTCTGAACACGTTATTCAAACAGTGAAGGTCTGAAAGTCGAAGTCCTAGAGAGAAAGGACAAGGCCCTTGTTTGATAAACGCCCTCTGCATTATTTTAGAAATGAGATAAACATTTAGAAACCATCGTGAAAGTTATCGTTATCATGTTTGTTGTTTAACACCACACACAGCAATACTCCAGCTATATGACGGTGGTCTGTATATAATAGAGTCTGAACAAGACGATCCAGTGATTGACATCATCAGCATCGATCCACGTAATTGGAATAAGTCAGTGAGCCTGACCACCTGATTCTGTTAGTCACCTTTTACGACAAGCATTGTCACCTTTTACGGCATTAAAGTTATCAGATATGTTCCAATGAACTCTACTTTGACTTTGATCATATCATCATGTGCATGTTATGGATTGTACTGGGTAAGAAATAGGTTTGAAGAGTAGGCAAAGATGTGTCAAATATGCTGACTTTTTGAGTCTTTGATCAATGTTGATTTTCTCAGGGGATAAAGACAAACAAATTAATCTTGGTTCAGACTTGCTCATAGTCTAGATTTGGACAAGCCCTGGTTTCAAATTGGTCCAGGGTATTTAATACAATAGAATGGACATATAATATACTGGTTGACTGAGGATGGTCTATCAGTATCTGGAAACAGAACTAATTGTCATATAATGTAGTACTTAAGCATGCACTCTCGTCATCTGTTGTTTCATAACCTGTCCAAGTTTATCCATATGGTTTTATGTCATAAAATGTGTGAGTTTTGTTACAAGCTGCTTTGAAACTTGCCCATGAAGCAAGTCTTTAAATTATGCACTTTGTTTATGCACTGAATTCGCCGTATTAAGCACCCCGCTCCAATAAGCTCCCCAGACCTACATCTAAACCAATATGTGAGTAGCTTTTATAAGCAACTGTTACTAAGCCCCAAACTTTACATAACAGCCGTGATTTTCTTGTGTGTATTGATTATTTACACAAAACACAGCTGTGAAGGAGGGGTATATATATGCTCTGTAACTATCATCAAAATGTTTTACTTTCATCAATGTTTGAACTAAGTTTATTGTGTACTGCTCGATCCCTGACAAAGTTAACTTGTGTATGGTTTTGATAAGCACCCACCCTTTGTTAATTTCTAACTGCCGGGAATGCTTGTTATGGCGAACACAGTAAATTTAAAGAACTCTGTGTCACCTGTTTGCAGCGCTTCCCACCATGGGGATTGGGTCTGGAAAGGGGTCTCAGGCCTGGAAAGGGGTCTCGGGTCTGGAAAGGGGTCTCGGGTCTG